GCAGAACTTCCTGGAGGGGGCACCTTCAGTTCATGGTACTTCTTGAGCTTGGGGTCACTAGAGGCAGAACAGGGTGAGTCAGGGCCTCCAAGGGACTGGCGACTCTGGCTTGCTGTGCGTGTGTGTGTGTGCAGGTGCTTGCTAATGTGCATTGTGTAGACACATGTATGCATGCTCACATTCATTGTATGCCGTTCTGGGCTAATCTGCAGGAGTGCACGTGTGTGAATGCCTTTCCATGCATGTGTGTCTGTGCAGGACTGGGTGCATACATGCACACGGCGGGGAGTGATATGCTCGTAAAACTCCCGGTAATTAAACAATGGCAGTTTCTCAGCAAGCAGATATAGCCGTCGGATGTCTTAATCAAGGGTGACAAGGTGTTGATGGGGAGGTAGCTCTGAGACATTGCTCCAAGTGAATAGAATCGGGTTTGTCATGGGTAGTTTTCTTTTACATAAAGGTTTGACTGGTTAAAATATTAAAAAATATTAACACGTGGGATGGGACTTTACCTCAGGCATTGTACAGAATGAACAACAGCCTCTATTTAGATACAGACCTGCCACGTACGAGCTCACTTGTTTTCTCTGCCCACAGTTTTGGGGGGTGAGAGGCTGAATGACAGCATATCCCAGCCAAGTTTTTAAATCATTTTTTAAATTATGTGCCTTGTGTTTTGTAAGGCAAATACATACCAGGCCCACAGCCAAGACCACCATCACCACCAAAATTATCAGAACCATCACTACACCATTGCTGCACTCAACATCACCATCACCACAATTACATCCAGACCACCATAAATGCCACCAGGATCATGACCACCATGACACCGTTTCTCTCAAGGTCACCATCACCACCCAAACTATCACAACCTCACCATCATCATCAATAATTACCCAAAATTTTACCACCTTCACTTCACTGTTTCAGTCACCACGACCACCAAAATCACCACACTTTGACCACCACCACAACTTCACTCTTCTGCTCACGGTCATCAAAATTACCAAAATACAACCATTCATTATTACCAAAAATCCCCTGCTGTTCACCACTTCAGTTTCTCACCATCACCACCAAAAATACCATAACATTGCCATCATCACCAAAAATTACCAAATACTCACACCACCACTTCACTGTTTCTCTCAATATTACCATCGCCACTAAAATTACCAAAACAATCATCACCAAAAATTACCATTCACTGTCACCACTTCACTGTTTGTCTCAATGTCACCATCACTCCCCAATAACAACAACCTCACCACATTACCTCTTCACTTGCTGCTCTCACCTGATCATCAAAATTACCTCTATCACCACCATCATTACCATAACTGCAACCACTGCTATCATACCATAACCACCTCTGCGCTTACCAATAGAGTAGGAGTAGACATTTCAGCAAGAAGCTTAAGTTTCAGGTCTCACGTGAGATCTCTGTGTGGAATTTGCCACCACCAGTGGGTGGACATTACTATAGCTAGTAAAGTAAGTAAGTAAAGGCCCTCCCGTTGATCATCGATTTGCTCAAGCGGGCCCAGTGACGTCTCCATTGGAGACTTTGTTGTTACTGTGTTTGGCATATCGAATACGTCACGGGGAGCTTGCCAGGTGGTTCATCAATCCTCATTATCTTTGTATGTAAAATGAGGGCCTGGCTGCCTTCAAGGATTAATGGCCGAGTGAAGTGACAATTGGTTAGAATGTGCACAGTCCTCTAGAGAGGGTAGTGTTAGAGGAACTGGTATAATTCAGGCTGTCCAGATCAACAGTGTTCCACATGAACTATCCTGGAGCACTTAGATCAAGAATTCTTATAGCTGATGGTGAGAGCAAAAGTTCCCAGGATAGAACATTCCCCGTTGGGTAGGGCAGCCCTTCCTGGAGAACTGGTCTTCACTTGTGCTCTGAGCGAATGCCCCCCTTGCCAATGCCCCCGTTCCTCACCTGGAGAGCATTACCTGGTACAGCTTGGCATGTCCAGCCGTGAGAACCCGCCTTGTCGAGACTCTTCCTCCATCTGCCTAAAACTATTAAGAAGTAGGTGATCACAGGTAATAAAGGATGGACGAGACAGAGGCACAGAGTTTGGGTGAATCTTGCTCTAGGATTGAATCTAGGAAATAGGATCTGGACTCAGAATATCTGTTTTTCTCAGCCCACATTGCCCCCCCCCCCCGCCCGCCCCTTGTCCTGTTACCTACCACATTAGCTGAATTCAGATGGTTTGTCTCAGCAGCTCTGCTGGAAAAGGGGGCCAGACTTTGCCAGCTGGACAGTCACACGCACGGTCACTCACACAGACCAGGAACCCCCCCTCCAACCCTCCAAGGAAGCACACGGAGACCAAGGACTCAGACTGTCCCCTCGCAGGTACCTTTTGAGACTAAGCTTTTATTTTTTGATATTACAAACCAGTTTTCTTTATTCACAAACCACTGTAAGTGATATAAACACTAATTTCTAAAGACAGATATACACATTTTTCTGGGTTTGCAGATTACACAATGTGTGTGTTAAGAAGTCACTATATGTCACACATGATATTAATCTTTTTTCTCCATAATTCATAATAGCAATAGTTATTTAGATAAATGAAAACATTCCAAATAAATACCGTTTAAAAAAATCCAAAATGTTGGTTTACATCTCTGACATACATTTTGAAAATGACTTATTGGCATCTTGGAGAAGTGCCGAGACAAAAAATTCTGTACTATCAGTTGGCACCCGCTTGCTCTAAAGGATTTTATTAAAACTACATACAATCATGGGGGGAAAAGTACAGCTCGTCGGTGAAAATCAAAACTGCAAATTAATTGTACTTGAACCAACAACAGTAAGAATTCAATGTTTGTGATTCCGAATACGAGGCAAGTTCTGGATTTTGCCATCTGAGACCTCTGGGAGAATTCTTCTCCCCAGCTCCTGCATCTGCCGCCGCTCCCCAAGCCCGTGGTCCGGCCAGTGTGTGGTTTCCAGGTAGGGGAAGTAGGGAAAATGAGGATATCTGGATATCTGAATGAGGTTAGGAAATCCCCCCCCCTCCCGCCCCCAAGAAGTCTGGTCAAAAGAACTTTTGGCAGGTTTAACTTTTTTGGCTGATGAGTTTTTCCCCTCCCCGTTCTCTCTTTTCAAGATGACAGTGTTCTGTCTGAAATACCAAGCTACAGAAACGCTGTGTTCAAATCTCGTGAAATTTTATTGGTGGTTTGAATATCCGACGATCTTAACTGCATGCACAGAGGAATGGCGGGAGAAGCTGGGTCACAGACACACTATTTTTTTTTCTTTGTTTTTTTTTGTCTTTTTTTTTTTTTCAGTTTTGTTGGGTTTTTGTTTGAAAGCAGAGTTGTTACAGCGGTTGGCAGGTTCACAGCGGTGAGTTGGATAACTTACTAAAGTGCAGGCCCAGAGCCCGCCTCGTACACAGATGTCACTACGGCAGCGCGAGTCGGCGGGGACCTAGGGGGGTGGTGGGCTGCCCTTGGTTTAAATACAAAAACAGGAAGACCCGTGACAGATACCCCAACTTAGGAGAACTTTGTAAACAGGACAACATGGAGAGAGATCAAACAGAAGAAAATAGACACAACCTGTAATTTTTCAGCTGCGACTCTGCCCTGCCCAGAGGGGGGGGTGGCGGGAGCAGGTGTTAGCTGGGGAAGAAGAGGTTGGACCTACTTTTTTTTTTTTTTTTTTGCTTCCTTTTGACAAATGTCCTGGGCCCTGGAGACAGAACTAAGAAAACTAGTTTGGGACTGGGAGTCGAGGTCGGGGGGAGAGGGGGGAAGCTCTCACAGGCTGAAAAATTACAGATTGTTCACATAATACGGTCATGTGTCCAAAAAGTACCAAGCTGATGAAAATACCATGAATATCTCTACTCAGTGATTGCAATACTTGTAAAATGCGTCTAGAAATCCGAATATAATTACCATGTAATTCCATAAAAATTATACGTGTTGGCTCTTAACAGTTCTACTAGGCTAAAATTAAAGTTTCATGGACTGTTTCTAGCACTGAACAACTCCACTGCACAGAGGTACATTTTATACATTTTTTTTTAACTGGTACAAAGAATTTAAGTTTTTATTACTTTCTTTTTTTTGGAAAAAAAGAAAAAAATAGAAACAGTGCTTTTTATCACCTTTTTATTAATGTTATTTTTTCCCTCCCATAATATAAAAGTCAGCAATGATATCAATAATTCATTATACTGGAAGAAATATAAAAAGAATGTTGTGGATAGACTAGCGGTTTCTAACTACCTAGTGGCTGCTTAAGAAGCTGAATACTGCCGGGTGGAACGGCCCTGCGGGCGGTTCACAGCGTCAGTCGACTCAGACACAGCACTGCGCGAAGGACCCCCCTCAACCACACGCCCTTTGGCTTGAACGAACAATGAGAAACTTAGAACCGTGGGTATGATTGTTGGTGCAGTGGGTCGTCTTGGTCCTTCGAGTCACAAATTCCTTTTCTTTTCGGTCGATCCCCAGTTCTGATCTCTAATGTCCCTCCCACCCTTCCCCTTCATAAAATGAAATCATGGAGATGGGGGGACGGGGAGGAAAATGACGACGACCCTCACTGGTACTCTTTCCCGCAGCGGATCACCCCTGGAGCTTACATCAGCATATATTCATTTACATGATATAGCACTCTGGATAGGGCCCTAACCCAGTTTTTATTTATAGCTAGCATCTCTCTAGATCAACCACAAAAATAAAATCCAAAACAGAAACAAAACTCCTACAGCCAGCAATCAAACTACAGAACCTTCAGAAATGAAAGACCCACAATATTAAAATACACAGAACAAAATATCTGAGGTATAAGATAAAAAATGTAATTTTTTTCCTCTTTTTTATTTTTTAGAGTCGCTAAAATGATGTACTACTGCATGTATTGCAATACCCAGGCCTTGGGAAGCTCCCTTTCTCCCCACATTGGAAGGTTTCTATGGTTTGTTTTTTTTTGTGTGTGTGTGGTTTTTTTCATTTTTTTTTGTTTTTTGTTTTTATTTTTGTTTTTCATTAGTATGGAGCGAAACGGTTGTATCCCCCTCGGTATATACTAGCCTGCAATGAAGAAAGAACGAGACCCACATCCTCAGCATGGCTCCTAGTCTTGGCATCAGTCAAGGGTGCAAAAGCATTCTGAAACAAAGCAATTCGAGGGGTGTGTTTTTTACATTTTCCTTTGGTAACACGGGGAGCATCCAAAAAAAAAACAAAACAAAACAAAAAAAAGAAAGAAAGAAAGAAAAGAAAAACTAAGGTGAAAAAATAGACACCCGAAAATAAATAATAAGGGGGCACCCCCTACCCTGCCCAGGTCATTCTTGGGGAAAGGGAAGAGAGATTTCGTTCCTAATCCACCCCAGGGGCTCCCTCACAATAACCCCCGCCCCCAACCCAAGTTCAGGCGGCCAGTCCCGTGCTCTGAGCTGGACCAGGGAAGGATGGCACTCATCTCCTGGGCTGGCTTGATCCCATCACCCTACACCCCATCTACATTCAGTAGGTTGGGCTGAGAGAATTTATTGAACGGACTCAGCTCATCCCCATCCTTCCTGCAGGCTACACGACGGAAGCAGAATTGTCACATGGCAAGGCATGTGACATGGAGGATGAGGCCTACATCAGCTTCTTGACTTGGCTAAACCATCCCTCTGGCCTTTGCTCTGGAGAGGTGGTGTTGTACAAATGAATTGTTGGATTCATGTACTGGAGCTGCTGCATCAAAATAACGTGTATTCAAATCATGCCCGAATTTCTAGCAAGAGCTCCAGTGATCTGTCTGGCTAGGAGGTCACACTTGAACTCTGCCATTGCTCTCTAAGTTTTGGCCATTCAACTCAATGCCCAGGGGATTCTCTTTTTTGTCCTTGCTGTAGTTGTTTTTAGGATAAAGACTGGTCTTCTGGATCCCAAACAGAAAAAAAGAACTGCATGCCAAAAGCTCTGTGAGTGATTGTGTATGCGTGTGTGTGATGGACACACCCCTGACTGGAATCAAGTGATTTAGTGCAGAGAAGTTTGAACAAGTACAGGCAGATTTACCCCACCCTGACCTCCCAAGTTTGCCCTCCCCACTACCCCTTTCCCACCAAAAACTCAGACACCACCCCCGACCCCCCCAAAAACCAAAAGTTTAAAAAAGAATCATAATAAAGACCGTTTCCCCACCCAAAAACTCGGCTGATTCCTTCTAATTCCTTAATAATGGGCACACACACAAGACGTGCCTCTCTCTATTTCCTTTCCTGGGCGACTATGACTTTAAACATGAACTGCAATAGGGGAGGAGAAGCAATCAGATTCTCAGCTGCCTGACAGCAGAGGCCTGGAAGTGTGCGGTCTAGCTCCTCTGAAGTCTCTGCTGGGGCTGGCACCTTGGGACTATGTGCATGAGCAGCCGGGGAGGAGGGGGGGAAAAAGAAAAAAAAAAAGGTCTGCATTGACACTGCGTTTTGTTAGTGATGGATTTAATTATCAAAATGACTAATTATTCCATTAAGGTAAGTGCTCTGCTAGGTGAGACTCGCAGAATTAGAAATAGAATAACTTACATGCACTACATTGGCAAGAAATTAAGACATTTATCAAAGTTTACTGGGGAGGATGAATGTGGCATTTTAGCTGCTGTTAGCGCAAGAGACAAATTCAATTACGGGAAAGAGAGAGTTCGTCGGCCATCAACCCGTCCTGAGAGCCCGGTTTCGGGGGGAGGACAGGGAGGGAGGAAGCAGCGAGGGAGAGGGGGACCGGTACTCACCATGGCACCAACGCCGTAGGTGGGGGCTGGAGCAAGTGTGTGGTGGTAGGGGTCGGCAGCATAAACTCGTCCGTAACTGAAAGGAAAGCGGAGTGGACAGCTCAGCCACAGTACGCACCAAGGGACGATGACAACAGCAAAATACAAAATAACAAGACCGTCTGGAGGGGCCCTATTGGTCTTCAGAAGAAAGGTTGGCCGGTGTGTCTCCTAGCGGGGAGAAAGGGTCAGCTGTGCTCAACACAATCCTAACTGACCTAGATGGGACCTCTTCCTCTCTCATCAGGCCACTGCAGCCTTGCAGGAGGAGGTCAAGGAAGAGATAAGCAGAAGGTGTGGCTCTAGGAGACCTCAGAATCCCAGAGGACAGGGTTCTACTTGGAGAGAGATTAACCTTTGCTCCTGGCTGAGCTGTCACCACTCAAGTGACATGGGGTAGACCAGAAAGGAGGAAGTGACCAGTCTGGGGAGTTGGGTTTTCAAAATCTTAGAAACTAGCACATGGATTTATAGAGAAGCTTCCTTGAGGGCATAGGGGACTGCTCCCCAGAGCCACCACTCAAGAATTGGACCCTGATTGGATGTGGATCCTGTCATCCCAGAACTTCTATCTTCAGTCCTCAAAGGCCAGGTTCTGGGAAGGGACACATCACCAATGATAGTTCTAAGAAATGGTTGAATTTTTTTTTTCTATTCGCCTCTTCCCTCTTGGCTATGCCTTCTAGTTCAAGCTGTAGAGTAAAAATGGAAGCTCCAGGCATGGGATAGCTACCAAGACATGAACCAAGCAAACACATAAGACATGAAGGTTTCAAGACTCTCAAGGGTGGGAGTCATGCCTAATCCCAGGACTGCTGATGGCAGCTCAGAAGCTCTTTCCATGGTGTTACGTGTGTTCCCTTGAATAACCTGGCAGGTAACCCCGTGGAATGGCCTGCACTGTCACTGCACTGTCCTCCTGTTGTTCACCGATTTGCTCGAGTGGGCCCAGTAACATCTCCATCATGAGACTTGTTGCTACTGTGTTTCGCATATTGAATACGTCATGGGTAGCTTGCCAGGCTTTGCCATGTGGGTGAGTTACTCTCAGTAGCTTACTGGGCTCTCCGAGAGGGGTGGAGGAATCGAACCTGGCTCGGCTGGGCTGGCTGTGCCAAGGCGAACGCCCTACCACTGTGCTATTTCTCCAGCCCTGGCCTAATCATTGGTATTTTAGTATCAATCCAAACAGATATGCCTGTCATAGTCTCTGAATGCAGTGCCTTAAAGGAAAATTCCTGTTGAGTGGGGGAGGGGGGAGAAAGGGGGAGGGAATGAAAGGGATGGAGGAGAGAGGAAGGGAAAGAGAGAGGAGAGAGAAGGAGAGAGAGAGAGGGGGGATCAAAAGGGAAGACTGATCTGAGGAAGAGTCCAGCTGCCACCTGATCCCCAGAGAATTATTCCCCACAGCCGATGCATCTGGAGGCACTGACTGTGTTTTATGGCCACACAATAAAGTACTAGCTGTGCACTGTCCTTAACAATGGAGGGATAAGGAACTGCACAACAGAGGGTCATTCTCAGATGGAAGCAGCTGTGTGCCAGAAAGAGCAAACACAACACCTGGGGCTCCAGTAACAACCATTCTAACTCCGATGAAAACTTAAGCTAAATTCCTGATTGTCACCACTGTCTGTGGACCGGGTGTGGTGGCCCCGACTGGTGAGTTTCCTCCCACCATGCTTTCTGCCCACATCCCCAAGGTGCACTCTGAGGTAGGCCACGAGTCCCTCATGTCATGCACTAAGGAACGTGGTCTGTGACGGGAGAACATTCTGCTCAAGGTGGGCTTTGTCTTGACCCTGAGTGGCTGGGATGGGCTTCTGGCCACTTCTGGCCACTTCTGACTGACCTGGAATCTGTGGGCTGGAATAGGACTAATTACAAAGAGCTGTGTCTTATCTGCACTCTCTTGGGTCTTTCGACACGTGGTGATACTTTTTTTTTGTTCAACAGACATATGCCACGAAAACTGAACTCGGGTATGGCACACTGGCTTCTAGCTATGCCATCCTGCCCAAACAGACCGCCCGAGCACCTCTCTACTTGGTGAATGAGGGCTCTGGGTAGCCATCTCTAGATGGGCTCTGTGTTGGCCACCAACAGCCATGGACTCTTGCTCTTTCCTTGACATCTGTGTTTCCCAAAGTGGGTGATCCTGCTCCAACCCTTGGAATGACCCTAGAGGGGTGGCGACACACTTGAGTGCAAGAGTGCGTGGGTGGTGATGGGAGTGGGGGGGTGAATTCCTGTTAGTCTGCTTGAATAGATTTTAAGGGGGGGCATAATGTCATTTTATTTTTCCTGAAAAGGAGGCAGTAACACAAATCAGTGTGGAAGTGTGGACTCCTCTGATGAAAGGAACCAGCAGAGAAAGAAGTTGACTGTCTGTTCTGCCATTGCTATATCCCATCACTGGGAGTCTGATTTGTACATGTTTTTCTCCTCCTTCATCTTTCCCCCATTTTCTGTTATTCCACCTCTCTCCTAGTTGGTGGACAAGAATGTCCCAGATGGTAGCTCACACCATAGAGCCCAGAAAGGAGGGGAAAAAGAGAAGGGAAAGAACTTCTGACGTGTAGGATGGAAGCACCCTCCAGAGAGAATCACCTGACTGCACTCGTTCTCATCAGCCAGGTCCTTGTTCCCAGCCCCTCCTGTACTGTTTCAAAATCTTCTGGGACTCAAATGATCTACAGAATTTTTCTTTTTGGGTCACACCCAGCAATGCACAGGGGTTACTCCTGGTTCATGCACTCAGGAATTACTCCTGCTTGGGGGACCATATGAGATGCTGGGACTCAAACCTGGGTTGGCCACAAGCAAGGCAAATGCCCTACCCACTGGGCTATCACTCCAGCCCCTCTACAGAAGTCTTTTCACCTTTAATCTACAGTGAGATTCTGATTCTCAAGGGCTGAGCCATGAAAGAAAGTTGCGTTGCTTTTCTTATGTGCAATCTTTCAGAGAAACTAACCAAGAGTCAACTCATTCTCTGGACACTCGTATTCCATCAGTCCCAGGGGGGCTTGAGAAATGGCCTTAACCCAAAGTCCTCCTTCTCTTGGGAAAAAAGATAGAAGGTCAAGAAAAAGGGTGTGCTAAAACAAGAATAATGGGGGTTAGGAAGAAACTGTTCACTCGTGGACATAGAACTGGGACTCTGGTTGATGTGTGAGGACATAGACTTGGGGGGGAGTCACTAATTTGATGAGTGAAAACTCACGGAGACTGGGTCAAGCTGGGCATGTGAACAGGGCACAGGCAGAAAAATGGATACTCCTTAGGGGATTTACCAAGCGCTCAATGACCTGGCATGATTTCAAAATGAATATGAAGATGTCAATTCAGAGTGATTGCCTATGTTTTCTTTTGTAATGCCTGGGGAACAGTTTTACTACAATAGTAACTTCCTCTTTGGAGGACACCAACATGTTATCAGAATCTGCTCACTGGCCGCTGAGCTCCTACCTTCCCTGCAGGCCCCTCCAAAGGTCTGTTGCCTCTAGCTGGGATCTAGCTTCAGCCACTGAGAGCAACCCCAGACAGCATTCAGGCAGATTTTCTTCCAGACAGAAGGGAAAGGCAGCACCGGTCAGCCCTCATTACGTGGGCAGGTGCCTTCCCTCCCTGGGCTGACCTCTACCTTCCCAATCCTGTGATTTTATCATGACTAATAAAAGTTCATTTCCACAGAGGAAAAAAGGACCAGGTCAGCTCAAATGGAAAGCCAGGAGGTTTCTTTTCCCAGGTTAATTACTGCCCTGGAGTGACCCTACAGTTACGAAGTGGATTAGGAGGAAAGACGCGGGCCCAGCTCAGTTCCTGAAGAGGCCAGACCAGGTGCATCAGGGACTGAAAGGTGCCAAGCACAGCCTGGAAGGTGGCAAGTCCAGGGATCCAACCCCAGAGATGGGACCTTCCATATGAGCCACCCACGGGGACCCGACAGGCAGGCAGACGTCACTTCATGGTGGGCTGTATTCTGCATTGTCAGATGATGTGTCTCCGAGTGACCTCACAGAAAGGACCAGAACAGCCAAAGCTGCCATGTATGGTGGCTGGCTGGGACATGGTCTTGGGACTACTTTTGGGTACGCAGTCCTTTGTCCAAAATATCATTTCATGACACGCGAAATGTGTCATTGAATGGTCAGGCCACGTCCTTCCTGTGGCCCCCAGGGGTCACCTAGCGGAAGCAATGGTGGGCATCTGAAATGCCTCCATACCATTCTCACCAGCCTGGCTTAACCCGATTCCATCAGCCACAGGATTAAACGCAGCGTATCTGAGTCTATTCCTGTCTCATCAAATCACGAGCCATGTATAGCAACAGTCATCAGATCTCTTCATCGACACATCATTTGTTTCTCTATATATCCACTCAGCCTCCCGCCCACCAAATTTATCTAAATAAACAAACATATTTAAATGAGAGCTTATGACTTTTCTGCTCCAAACCCTTCAACAGTTTTCCACGAATCCTAGAATAAAACCCAGACTTGAGGGAGTGACCGTAACCTCCTGCAGCCACCTTGCCCCGGCCCGTCTCCTTGCTGACTCTGAGCTCACGGACATCAGCCCTACTCCTTAGAAATATGCCAGATTCACTCTCTCCTCAGGCTCCTTCCCAAGCAAACCTCCTCCCTTCATCTTTTCTGTCCCATCCCAAGCGTCACCTGCTCCAACCCAATGCCTCCTTCCCTGATCTTCTTTGCTTCAGGACATGTTCCAGCCTCAGCTCCACACCTGATGCCCTGTACCAAAATCTCTAGCACTTTCAATCTTTTTCTCAGACCAGGCATCTAACGCACATGAGCAAGGTCACAGCCCAAAGGAACCAGGAGCCAAGACAGCAGCCCAAGGTGAGTGGAAATAGCCAGAAGCACACGGCCGCATCAGAGCAGCCCACATACCACGCAGAAAACCAAAAAGCACCATCCTTCCAGAGCCTTCTCAATGCAATTCAGACAAGAGAAGGTTAGACCTTAGCAGAGCCTATTAGCCTAAACTCCTAATTTGGGGGAACTCCGGGAC